TCTATGTAGACACTGTTTCCAGTGGTAGGGTATGATACCTTTCTCGTAGAAAGAAGTGGGCTGATGTCATAGCCAGCACAGGACAACTTGCTGCAGTTCATCATTTGTTTGAAATTTTGTTCCTCCCAGGTGCTCTTTAAAGGGCCCAAACAAATGATAATCGCTGGGAGCTAATCACCTTCAATATAAAACTAATTCAGAAGCTGCTCACGTCTCCTTGCATACCCATTTCTGATCACATGTCAGCTGTTGGGGAACCCATCTGGCACACATCTTGTGGTACAGTAAGTGCTTGTGAATGATTCTCTCAACACTGCTGACACTGATGGACACTTCCTTTGCAATGTGTCTCGTGGTTACTCAGCGGTTCCCCAGGATAATTTGCTCAACTTGTGCAATATTCACTGGCATTACTGCAGTTGAACAAACATGTCCATGTGATTCATTTGTCATCAGCTCTCATCCGTTATCAAATTGTTGACAACACTTGTACACTCTTGCCCACGATAGCATTTGTTCTCCATACTCTGCACTCAATCTTCTCAAAATTTCAGCTCATTTAATCCTTTCCTTCACGAGAAATTTGATTACGCATCACTGTTCCACCGTAGCAGACACATTACCTTCTGCCATGATCACTAAGACTGCTATGCATGCACAAAATACGCCATGCTTGCTTGGCGTATTTTGTGCATGCGTAGGGATAGATAATGCTACTCCTCTTTGGGTTTTATCGTGCTACAGTTACTTTTCAAAATTATAGGCCCAAAAGTCTCATTTAACCTTGAACGACCCTTGTATTCATCCAAATTTGATCCAAAATCCCTCAGGCCAGCAGGCTGATGTCTCAATCATCTTGGCCATCCAGCTATCACCCCACCACTTCAGGTCATGGAGATGATATCTTTATCTTTAATAAAAGTATGACAATAGGGAATAACAATACATGATTTTCCTGTTTTCTTCCATTCCAAAATATCAAACAGGAGCCTGAAATAACACCTATGTGCCATTTTAAGATCCTGTTTGATATTTTAGCAATTAATTTAATAAATAGCATCTACATGCAACACTGGATGCAATGTGGAAGGACTGAATACAAGATTTGCACAGCCATATATAGGAACAGATGATTCAGTTACACCAAAATATAAAATACAAAAATGAATGATGTGCCAACAATAACATCCATGCATTTGCTCTAGCATATCTGCTTGCTTACCCAAATAACAATATCAATATCCAATGCAGTAACTCACATTCATGTTCTTCAAATCACAAACAAACAGAAAAAGTTTAAATTGGTGGTGATTTATGGCATCTAATATGAGTGTGTTGTTGTAAAAGAGCATATAAAACACAATACTATTATTAGTGTTGTGTGCCACATGTCCTCTTGTAACAGAAACACCATATTAGATGCCATGAACCATCACTGATCAATCAAAGATGAAAACTAATTCATAATCATAATGTGTGTATATATGTTATTTGTCACACCAGTAACCTTTGTGAAAAAACTAATCAATTTAAATGCTTGGGCTTTATTGTGAGAAAACTGTAATCATTTTCATTTCAAATATAATGTTTCAATCAGCATTAGTTTTGATAAAAACATTAATTTTAACTTAAAATTAATCAAAACCAATGCCAATCTAAACATAAGAAATGAAAATAATTCTATTAGTGTTGAGTGCCATGTGCCCTCTTGCAACAGCAACCCCATATTAGATGACATGATCTGCCATTGGTTTTAATAGAAACAGACATCTTATAGTAAAACAAAATAGAACAGTTGAAAGGGAGAATTGAATATGGCTACATTTCTTTATGTAGCGAGTGTATAGCAAAAATGACACACCAACAACTGCAATAAATCAATGGGCTGTAATATAGATTTATGGCATGATTTACGACAGTTGTTGGTGTATCAATGCATTGCATCAGGTTTTAGTATAGATGTTTAAATTTATAGCAAAAATGATGTTACAAGCAGCTATTGCTACATGTCACTACATTATAATTTAAAAACACTTTCTACTTGAGCTAAAGATAAGCATCATAATCTATTCTTAAATTTCAGTTATAATTGAAAGTAGCATTTTAGTTACAGAATTACAATGTATCAAAAAAAAAGAGGTATAAAGAATTGAGCATTGCTATTTCTGAAAATATGAACAAGGTATAGAGACAAATAATTATGTTGAAGATACAGTATTTTCCTATTCTTTAGATGACTTTCAGAGTCATTTTAGAAAATGTAATCTTTCCATAATGTTTTTATCAACAGTCACTTCAACTTTATGTTCACAGCATAATATCACATTATACATACAAGTACAGTGATACCCCAAACTTACGCGATAGGTGGGACCGAGTAATAACCGCATAAGTCAAATTCGCATAAGTAGGGATATAATTTCACAATTTGTGTAAAACCCAAGTCGGATGTATGTAAGCTAATAAAAGTTCTCGTTAATCTTATCTCGTCTTTTGATTCGTTCACAGTTAGAAGAAATCACCACATAGAGTCTCTCAAGTCTCCGTAGATATAACAAACACAGAAATGAACAACACAAAATAAATTGTGGCTATGTGTCAATTCCGCGCGAAAAGCCGAAAAAGGAAACCCAAAAAAAAAAGGGGGGGGATTGAGTAATCAAGAGTTGCTTGGCCCTCAAACAAAAGACGAATCGACTAGATTTGAAAATCGCGTAACTCCGGGTTAGCGTAAGTCGGGGTAGCATAAGTCAAGGTATTACTGTATCCATTTTGCTTTGCATGTGTAGCAGACAAAAAAACTGCTTTATCTTTGCTGCAGCAACCCTTGCAGGAAACATTTAGAAATAATTTGATACATTATAGCACTTCATTTAGAAATGTTTTGCTGTGTAGTGATCAAATAGTGCTGCATAAATGAACAGCCTACGTTATCTAGAAAATCTAAAATTTCAAAAAAAAATTTTATGCACTACAGTATATCAAAGTTTAACTTTTCAATGTCTCATAAGATATAAGCATCTGAGCAATTCATTCATTTACGTGTCATCTTCCTATTTGTAAATATGTATTATAACTTTACTATAAAAATTTTATATCTTAACATTTTTTTCCTACTATTAATTACCCTTTATTCAAATCTTTTATTATTATCTATTCAATATACAGTATAAAAATTGATATTTTGTTCATATATAAAATTTTCACAAACCACAATATAGATATGAATATTATTGTTAAGCAGCATAAAACATCAAAACTAGAATGGAACACTGTAATATTGATAAAAGAACAATGACAAAAACATTATGGTTTTCTTTTAACTTCAGTTTCTTTTAAGAAAAAGAATGAACATTTTTAAAAAGAGATCAGTTGTGAATTTATCTTCAATTTTGTAATTTTGACATATTTTTCCAATATGTTAAAATTTATATCCTGGATATACTTTTAACTACAGATTAATATCTCATTACTGAAATGTTAACCTGTAAATAATTATGACAAAAATGATTTTAACCTTCTACTACTAATTATCTCTAAATAACCACTCGTTTTTAAAATAGTTATCCCGAACAAAAATCAAAAATCTTAAAAGGATAAAGATTTATAAACATATTTAATTTAGAAATTATAATAATAATATTTTATTTAAATATTATGATAATATGAAACAAGAATTATTAACTTATTACATAAATATGTGATGGAAGTGAACAAAACATATGTTCCTTACTTTTTTAATTAGAATATAAAGTTATAATGCAGAAATGTAGCACATAATATGCACCTATATCTATGGAAACACATATTCAGTTTATTTTTACTTTCCCTGCTGCTATATATATAACAGAGGAAAAGTATGACAACTGGTCAAAAAATGACCCTCCAAGATATTTAATTTTTGAACTCAGGAGACCTTGAAATATTGAGAAATTCAAAAAAAAATTGGGAGTTTTATGTATGGATGTTAGTGTGTGCATGTGGGGACAGTTTTGTTCATCCACTTTAAAGCTCAATGATTCCTGTGTCATTTGTTGAAGATTTCTGAAATTTTGCAGGGAGATTTATATATTAAGGGAATTGATGCTATTAAATTTTGGTGATTAAAGGTTGAGAGAGTGGAGAGATAGGAGGAGATCGTGTGTCATATCTCAAGTGGGGTCAGACTTAATGATTTTACTTAGGATTTAAAATTTTTTATAAAACTCATCTCTATTCTCGAAATTAAGCTTTTTTGCTATTTTATAATAATAATATAAAAAGTTTTTCATAAAATATCATAACAGATGGTGTCACCACAATTTAAAATGTTTTTGCCAGGAAAGTTACATAACTCATTTTTGGATTTTTTTTAATATAGTCATTATTTATTGAGGTATTTATCATAGCAGTAGAACAAGGAATTAAAATCTTGATGTAAGAAAAATGCATCTTGTAGATATAATTGATGTTTTCTTTTTATAGAATATCTTTAGACTGGAAATGTATGCATCAATAATCTCTTCAATTTGGAGAACTGAAATTTAATCAAATCAAGACTATAGGGAGAATGAGAAGATTTAAAACATCATGAACAGTATGAAGCCAGGAATTATGCAACAGCAGCATTCTTCTTGAGACATCCACCTGTTTCTAAAGCTAGAAAGATCTTTATAAACTACATTTTTAATCTGATAAAAATGTTCAAGAAAAAGTCAAACATTTGTCATGCAGCACATATCTTTTTATAAACAAGGCTTTGATCCAATGATCTATTGCTATGATAAAATTATGATTTGACAGTGGTTCTATAGACAAGTTCATTACATCAAAAAATAGACTAAATTTGAACTTGTGTGTTCTTACATGTGTTCCACATTTCTGCATTGTAACTTTCTTAAATTCAATAAAAAAAAAAAATATGAAGCTTTAGCTTTTTGATTTTCTTCATTCAGAAAAAATTAACACTACACTCAATATTAAGAATAATTCAAATTTTGTAATTTTTAGTTATCACTTACTTTTACTTCAATTGCACATCCAACTGTCCAATATGGAGTTTTAATTGGAACTTGATGTGAAATGAGATTTACTAAAGATGATTTTCCTACACCTGTAAAAAACAAAAATAATTTACTATGTTCCTTTTTAATTTAAAAGTTTTGTTTGAGATATTTAATACTTTACAATTTAATTTGCTAATTAATAAAACAAAGAATATGACCATCTAAGATAAACCAATAAAATTACATATAAAAACTATATCAGGATGATTCAAAAGTTCCAGACACTGATAACACTTCTGTGAAAAAGATCTCTAGCACTGAAAACACTGCTGTGAATGCAAACGAGCTGGTATTTGCATCATCATCAAAGTACATACTATCATTTTATAGTTGATGAGTTCATTTGTTTGGCAAATATGGTTTTCCATAAGAAAGAATGACTGATGAAAAACTCATCATTTGATGCATCTTGCATCATTACTGTAAACAAGGATTCAGTGCAAGAATAGTAGCAGAGAAAATTTGCAAAATTGAAGGTCCAGCAAGGCTGATGAGCAAGATAACTGCAGCTGAATAGTTCTGCCACTCTCACTAAGGGAACACCAGACTCATAGACAAGCTTCGAACAGGACAAATATCAATCAACCATCGATGACAAACTACTGCTCCAAGTTGTTCAGACAGTCGGCAACAACACTTGCTGACTGTCTGCTGAACTAAGGACTTTTCAATCAACCATTGTTTGGCATTTGAAACACCTTGGTTTTTGCAGGTCTCAAGAAGTACCACATGAACTGATGGAGCAACAGGCACAAAGGAGGATATACATATATATAATCAAATGACGCAAAATCCAAAAGACAACAGGTTTTGGAACAAGTTCATAATGGGAGAAGAAAAATGGATCTTTTTCTGAAATTCTAACAGAGGAAACCAGTGGCTCTGACCAGGTGAAGTTCCAGCATAAGTGGTTCAACGAGGACAGTTTGAATAAAAAGTCATGCTGTGCATTTGATGGAATTTGGATGGTCCAGCACATTGGGAGTTGATTCCTAATGACTGGGCCATGGACAGCAAACTATATGCTGAACAACCGAAATGGGTATTTGAAGTCCTGCACACTCACTATCCAGCATTGCTTAATCAAAAGCATACACTGCTACAGCATGATAATGTTGCAGCACACTGTTCCAGAGTGGTCCGAGAAAAGTTAAAAGGAGCTGGTGGGGATTGAAGTTTTGCCTCACCCAACATACACCCCTGATCTCACCTCTTCTGGACATTGGCACATTTTCTGAAAGGGTATTGCTTCAATGCAATGCATGATGTCAAAAGTGGGGTTTGTGAATTTTTGGCATCAAAACCAGCCGAGTAGTATCACCAAGGAATCTATCAACTTGCAGGAAGGTGGCTCAAGATCATAGTTAACAATGGTCTTTATTTTGAGGAATAATCATGTCTGTGTTTTATTATCAATAAAGTTTTGTATTGTGATTTACTGTCTGTTATTATGTGTCTATGTCTGGGAACTTTTGAATCAACCTGATAGTTTGATTTATTAAATAAGTTGTTATTTTATAGTGAATTATAATGAATAAATAAATATATGAATAGTTATTATAATTATTTAAATTAAAATATATAAATCAAACTTATATATTTTAATTTATTCATATTTTTGCTAATTGTAATGTAATGAAGAACATTAATTCAAACTAAGAATCACACATTATAAGAAATTTATAAACTGATGTCAGGCTGTGATGAACAGCCAGAATATGGTTGAAAATATTAGCTGATTTATTAAACTGTTGTTTTGCTGAATTTAAGTAAGGTTGCATTGTTTTGTATTTTAGGATTGAATTAATTTAGATGTATATAGAAACCAAAAACTGTTTCATTTTAACTAAATTTTTCAAATTTGCAGTTCAGCATTCTGTTTTAATTAAGGAGACAATTACAGTCAAACAATCATATTTTTGATTTGTTTTATTTGTGTCTTTTTTAAATATTGTTTAAAAGTTGTCAGGTATTGTCTATTAATTACTGTACAGTTTAAGGGAAAAGGATTGCAAAAAATACATCACTGTACCCAATAGAGTGGGTTGAAGCATTGCTTATATGGATTTTTTTAGTGGTTTAGAAATTTGTTCTTATTAGCTTAGTTACTAGTCATGTGAATAAACTATCAGTTAGAAAATATTTGCAGAACTTTGTAGTAGTCATTTCTTCTAACATCAAAACATCCACAAACTATTGTACATGTAATTAAAGAGGGCTTGATAAAAGTACATCATTGTATAGGGAGGGAGGGTGTCAAAAGTGGCTCAGAGAACAAACACAAAAATACTTACATTAACTCATTGGGTTTTGAGATGTGTATTATATGTATATATATATATATATACCTCGCTGGCTGAGTGCCACATAGGAGATGTTCATTGGCTGTTGACATAAGAGTCATCTCCAGCCAGTGCCGTTAGTAACCGTGGAAGGTTATATCGAAATTTAAATACTTCTGGATGTGAATGAAGGCTGGCTTGAGGTCTGGGTGGCACAATTGGTAGCACACCACATGGCAAGCAGAGGCTGCAGGTTCAAGCCCTGCCCCGAGTCAGTTATTTTCTTCCAGAAGGTTCTAAATTATTTATTAAATTATTAATTTAGATAAGAGATGATGCCTAACGCTTACCTCTAGTTCCAAATTTGTTTGTAATAATTATTTGTTTATAGCCATATAATAGCCCGAATATTTAGGCAATCATTGGATTATTATATTAACTCATCAGGCTTTGAGATGTGTATTATATGAATACTGATTGGTCTTCCCTTGTCTTCAGGCAACAATTCGAAACTTTCCGGAATGTGGGAGACGTCAACATCAATGCTTAACCCAGTATATACTGATTGGATAGTATTCCTCTGAACTTTGAAACTCTCCCTTGTAAATTCCAGCCTTTATTTTTCTGACAAAGAATTTTTTTATAGTATTCGCAAGACTATCAGGAAGGCACTCGTTATGTTTTGCGTCGGTTTTTATTTTTGAAAGGAGAAAGTATAAGAGCAAAGGTAGAGAGTGAGCAGATGTATGATGTTGCTAGGCAGTATGGCTTGAACAGGTCTACAGTAGGCTGCAGTTCAATCTTATCTAAGAAAGATATTGTATAATCAAGAAGACTCAAGCAGCTAAAAGAGTACCAAAAATCACATATGAGAAATAAAGAACATTTAAGACCTCATAATGAAACCTGAAACTGACCTGACGACAGAAGGACATCAAGAAACTTGGCAACATATGCTTTCTTTTGAAAAACAGGATTAATGCTGACATCTGCTATTAAAGATCTTTTGAAGAAGTGGGAGGACATCAGAACAACAGTCTTAGAATGGCATCCAAACCAGGATGAGGTTAATTAATAGGCTTGGGGATCTCTACAACGACAATGCTATTAATTACTTCCAAAAAATCCTGAAGAGAGAAAAGCAATCGACATTGGACAGATTCTTTAACGCCCCACAAACAGAAAAAAGCCATAACTGATAAAAATGAAAGACTGTGCATATATGTATTTTTATTATTACCTATAAATAAACATAGTAAGAAAGTATATAATTTTTTATTTTTGGAGTTTCCAGAATGAATTAATCAAATTCCCATAAAAACCTATGATAGATTGATAATTGGTTAACGAACAATTCGGTTAGTGAACAAAGTCTTGGAGCAGATTATGTTCATTAACCGATCACTCACTGTACATATTGTGTGATTATTTTCATAAACAAGTTCTTATATCTTTGTTTCATGTCAATGTATCTATTTTAGAATTAAAATAAATAAACTGCTTACTTTTGTCATTTTTTTACTTTTACATTTTACTTTTGTCCAGTTTTTTAAATAATATTAATTATTAATTTTTTAAATATTATTAATATTATTATTTGGAATAACATTTGTTTATAATTTTTATGGAAACAGCTTCATCAAATGTCACTGCACACCACTGATATATATGTATCTGTGCATTCTTTATTCAGCAGTGTGCTGAACAGTTGCTACTGGAAGTGACATTTTTGCTACTGATGGTTGAAAACACTTTTGCTGGAGAAAGAGCTATCTCAAAATGGCTGATATAAACAATGATTCTCTTTCTGCTATATATTACATGTGTTTGTTCAATATTATTAGAAGAAAAGCCATTAAGTTTGATGTTGTTTATAAGAAAACGAAGAAATCATGATTTATTTATGTCACTGGTGATGACCGATTCCCAACAACGAAGAAAGCATGCAAAAATAGTTGGTTACATTCACAATATTGTACCGCGGTATTTGAATGAAATCTTCAAAAGCCATTTTTGCATGTCACAATTAACAGTTGAGGTAAGTGGAAGTAGATTGTGATTTAGCTTGTTATGCTGCACTAATTTTTATTGAAATATTCAGATTAGGGACGTCCTGTCTGTCTCTTTTCTCCTTTATCACCAGGCTATGAGTCACGTAATTGTAAAATGGGAAATCTAAGACGGAAAAGTGACAAATCAAAAGTATCGTGAGCACATATAATGATGTATGCATAGGCATACATGGACTAGAGCGATAGAGAACAGAGAAAGGGAAGAGCAAAGATGAGCGCTTAAAAAGAAGGATAAGCAGGGTCAGACCCTCAGATGTGTGACAATTCTCAAACGAATAGATGTGTACGTGTGCTGATCCTTGTAATTATAAATTGTGAATACATGTGACTAATATTATTTTCTTTTTTATCTTGTATATGTTATAAGTTATAAACAAATATAAACAAACAACACTAACCTGATAACATTAAATCTAAATACAGTAGAACCTCCATTATCTGGACCTCTATTATCCGGATTTTCGATTATCCAGATTGTTCAAAATAAACAAAAATTTTACGAATTTGCTGATTTGCACTTGGCAAATTACGACACTGTTTATGTACGTGACGAAATGCATAACTTTTTTTGTTTCAACAACGTCTCACCCAGCACAGTGGTCGTAAACTCTTTAATATATTTTACNAAAATAAGTAAGGATAGATGAAGAGGTATACCTGCATTATCAACTTTCATTATTAAACAGAAATTAGTTTATTTTAAATGTTGTAATACAATGTATTTTTTATAAATTTATAAAGTGAAAATTCTGTAAATTTAATTTTAATAAATATATAAATTTTAAAACAAATGTTTATTGTTATTTTCTTTTTACAAGCTCTTTTATTACTTCTGTTAAATTCTCCAATGCTTGTACTCTTCTTTCCTTGAGCATCTTCATTTCAGCCCACATGTTTTGATCAAATTCATTTCTTTTTTTCATTTCATCAACAAACCAAGCTGGTGCCTATGCAGATCTGTTTTGCTTTCTTTTTTTTGGTGGTCTTTAAATGTTTTCTGATAAGTCAAGGAGAAAAGAATTATAATTTTCAGATGGTACATTAGAGCACGATGAAGATGGGGATGAAGAGAGTACAGAAAGAGACTGTGAAGGAGTAGAGGTAGGAGAGAATGCAGAAGACTGTGAAAGTACAGAGGATACAGAATGATTGGAAGATTCAACAGAAGACAAGTCTGGGGAAGGAGCTGAAGAGAGGTTTGATTGTAAATAGTTATCAGAAGGAACATTGTTACATTTTTTCCCAAAAGCCATTGTAAATGTAGACAAAGTGAGAAAATCTCATGAAAGTAGTATTTGTTGACCTTATTTTTACTTTCATGAGATTTTCTCACTTTGTCTACATTTTTTCTATAAATTCCCCATTAAATTTCTCCACTTGTGTGCACAATGTTCACCAGTGAAAGAATGTCCTTTTTCACACATAATGCCTGATATTTTGTTCCATATTTTCTTTTTTATTGCAGGCGTACAAAATTCTTTTTCCAACTCTATGCACTGAGAAATTAGTAATTTTGTTGCACTTTCTATCCACACTTGCTCTGTAAATTATAAAACATGTTTTACAAGTTATCATCATTAATTAATAGCAATGACTCTAAATAATAAATTGTACTTACCCACAGATTCTTTTGGTTCACATTATTTTGTGCCATGATGCATGTCATTAAATGTGACTTCTATTCCATTATCAACTTCTATCAAAAAGAAATAAAAAGTTATTTACATTGCTCCAAATTAAATTGACAAATGCTTTGGCAGAATATAACTAAAAAATAAAGGTGGGCCCATGTATGAAATACAGTTTAAAAAGTTAAAATTTATTGTCAATGTATAGAATGTTTATTTTCAGAAGCATATAATAATGAAGGACAAACTTCTAAATAATTTAACAAAATAAAAATAATAATCTGCATGTGAAATATGATAGAATGAATCCTCAAAATGTCTTTCTAATAGTAGTAAATTTATTTATTATTTTGAATGCCAAATGTCCTATATTCAAAATGATAATTATACATTTAATAAGAAGTTACAATTGTAATTAACATGCATAATACAAAATAAAGGTCACAGAAAAATTCAATATTTTACATATAAATAACTAGGGCAATAATAAGTTAATATACACCTACCTATGGTATCCTTACTTTCCGTTAACACTTTATGTATTATTATATGATTTAATGAGAATAAATTACTTCAGAAGGCAAAATTTGTCTTTCAAATATTGCAATAGACTGCTAGAATCTGTAAATAAATAATAAAAACTGTATTTCATAAACCCACTTTTGACCGTAGGTTTGACTCAGTGTTTCTCAACGGGGCGATATCGCCCCCATGTGGGCGTTTTTCCATGTTGAGGGGGCGATAACAAACAATTTATATTTTGGGGGGCAAAAAACAATTTTCTGGGCGATATAGTAAAACATTATATTAAGAATAATTAGATCTTTTATTCGTTATATCGTACAATAATTAAATAAATGATGTTATACTAGTCATTATTCTATTCATTGCAGTACGAATTTGGCGTTAGTCTTGGCCCTCAGCATCGAAATTTTGTAGTGAAGGGGGCAATACTACATTGAAGGGGGCGACGATTCATTAGAGGTTGAGAAACACTGGTTTTACTTCATAAACAGAAATAATAATAATAATAGATTTTTATATTTCGTTTTACTATTATACACGTATTAAAAAGATACTTACTTGAAGCAAAGGAATTAAAAATCTGCTCATTTAAAATAGCAAAAAATTGATTTTTATTTGGTAGTCGAAAAAGATACTTTTCCACGGAGGCGTCCTTCTTGTAAGCACTATTTTCAGCATGGTCGGGAGGTGCTGCTAGTGCGCTGAAAGCACACCTTAAGCATGTTGACAGTAAGCTTAATAATTGAACACATGCACTAAAAATGCTGCAAATGCGCTGAATAAAAGAATGAGCAGTATGTATATGTTAGATACATACACAGGTAGAAGTTTACCTATGTGCACCGTCATGGCAGTGGTCGCGACTGTTCGTGCTCCTGATGGACTCATGGAAAAGGAAAGCCACCAGCAGGCCACCGATTGTTTAATGTCACTAGTTATTGATTCATGGTAGTTCTTGAACATACGTATCAACTAGAAAAGATTCTAGGTCCATGTGAGGTTCGGAAACCCCCCAAATTGTAGACTCCCTGTGCATTCAAAAAATGTCTAATGAACCATAACCATACATATACATATCAAATGTATATATATACATCAATAGAAGTACAGACATGTAATCTTAGTCATAATTGTGATGTTCATATTAATATTATACGAAATTATGTAAAATATTTTGTTGATTACGAAATCCCAGAAATTATTGTAATATTAATTTCATTTATTTTTGTTTTTGACAAATTAAATAAAACCAATTCGACGATAAGCCAATGTTTAAACTGATATAAATTATAAGAGAGAAAAACTCTGATATTATTATTTGATAAAATTTTTTAAAATAGAAATAATTAATTATAACTGATAAATGATATTTTATTTATTTACTTTTTAAATCAGAAAATAAAATTATTAGCAAGAACTTTAATTCGATTGGCAACCTGTAAACATAGTAGTGTCATTGTCGTATGTGTGTGGTAAGGTGAGTTTTGTTTTTATTAACATACGATTTATCATTAAAATTGCTTAACTATAAATTACATATTTAAAATCATAAATGACAAGGTGACAATTAAAAAAAAGAATATCACTTTTTATTTAGAAATGAAAAAAGATAACAAAATATTTGATTGTGAACATTTGCATTTTCGGTCATTGACTTTATTTCATCTATATTTTCATTGTTTTTATATTTTTCATTTATATATTCTGGGTTTTTATTTAAAGTTACGGTAATGGTNTCATTCCGTCCTGTGGGCACTAAGAGGGCCTCTTTTAACAAGCCCATTATGGGTTCGGCCAGGCGCAGAATGGGTCGGCTGGGTTGGGAGGAGCGGGACCCGGCATATCCGGACGGACTACTCCCCGAAAAATTCCTGGGGATTTTTTGATCCGTTCGGATACGATCCCGGGTCCTCCAGAGCGGTAGGCCATCCGGCTGTCTTCAAGAAATTTATTAAAAAAAGAAAAAAAAAGTATTTCGTGAATACGTTATAAAACTTAATATAAAATGTAATTAATTTTAAAAATTTTTTAAAATAGAAATAATTAATTATAACTGATAAATGATATTTTATTTATTTACTTTTTAAATCAGAAAATAAAATTATTAGCAAGAACTTTAATTCGATTGGCAACCTGTAAACATAGTAGTGTCATTGTCGTATGTGTGTGGTAAGGTGAGTTTTGTTTTTATTAACATACGATTTATCATTAAAATTGCTTAACTATAAATTACATATTTAAAATCATAAATGACAAGGTGACAATTAAAAAAAAGAATATCACTTTTTATTTAGAAATGAAAAAAGATAACAAAATATTTGATTGTGAACATTTGCATTTTCGGTCATTGACTTTATTTCATCTATATTTTCATTGTTTTTATATTTTTCATTTATATATTCTGGGTTTTTATTTAAAGTTACGGTAATGGTAATTATTTTTAAGCCATGCACCAACGCTTTTACAACGTTATATCGCAACTTTAATTTATGACGTTTTTGTAAATTATTGCGCTTTTTCTTTTCAATTTCGCTTACCAAAAGTTTTTGGACAACGTTTTATCTGTGTTTTGCATCATTAATGTCCCTTTAGTGCTGTAAACCGTCTTCACATGAGCAAAACATCTAAAATAAACCTTAGGTCCAGGAGTGACCTTTCGTAAGGTACAAACCTAAACTTGCAGGTTGTACAGAGCTGAATAATTTGAAAAAAGTTGATAAAGTTTAAAAGAAAAAATGAACAGTTTCCCAAAACAGTATTTAAAATTGGTACTTTTTTATTTACGAAAAAGGTTTAAATGAATTGCCAACATGACTATAGCAAATGTAAACATGCTTATTAAATATGTATGGATAGTACCATGGAAGTAGTATAGCATTGCTTTCTCTCAATTTTTTTAAAAAGACATATATGATACAATTTTGCAATTATATGTTAAATATTTTCTTCAGTACTTTGTTTGTTATAAAACAATTCAGTTATAATACATTTCATTTATACATTTTTGCACTTGTATGTCTTATTTTTTTGGTACTTAATGGTACTTTTTACTCACTTATGCATTATTTGTTTTGAAATGGAAACATTTAAAGTGATTATTGAAAAAAAAATAAAAAAAGAGAATTATATATTCACTTCAGCTTAATCCATACTAACAGCAAATCTATATATATAAAAATGAATGTGTGTCTCTGTGTGTGTGTGTGTGTGTGTGTGTGTCCTTCATGCATTACCACACCGTTTATCCGATTGCCGTGAAACTTTGGGAAGTTGTTTAATATACTCCGGCGAAGGTTTGTGGCATAGTACGATTGCCATAAAACTTTGGAAAGTTTTTTTAATTTTTTAATACACTCCCGCGAAGTACATTTATCCTACGATAGATGGCGCGCGTTTACACGAGCATTCGCGCACAGTGTGTTCGATCGATTTCAAATTGTGAAGACCATTTCCCCCCTTCAAAAAATATCTCTATATATGCATTTGTGAACTGTTATTTACGATATTTGTAATAATTTTTGTTTAATCACTTTATTTCAACTTTTTTTTGCTAATTATGTATTCGCTCGAACTTCGTTAAAACCTTAACTGTACCCCGAACAACAACCGAAGTTGTAGGAAGAAATTCGCGTATTTTACCGATCTAGGTATCCCCCCTTTTCCAAATTTTAATATCGACTCAAAATAATTTAAAAAGACAAATTACAATAAAACGGTTTATTATCCAACTATCAGAAATTTCACAACATGCCAAGGAAGAGAGGAAGGAGCAATTAAATAATTAAAATTATAAAGGATTAGAAAATATATATATAAAAATGGGGAATATCGCGCTTCTGACAATCGCAGCGAGTGTGTGGGCTAAATTTGGAGAATCCGTGCTTCTCGCATGGACAACTGTATGTGGCCGGCTCACGCGTCGAAAAACCTTCCGATTTATTCGTGTACGCACCAGAGGGAAAAACAAAAAATATCGTGTATCCACAAACACTCCAATAAATAAATAGAATTGAAACGACACTTTGAAATGTTTTTCCCATGAAAATGAATAATAATAATAAGTTTCAATAAAAATAATAAAATGTAAATTGAATTTTATCATAACGAGTTTGCTTGAATTTCGTTTCTTCTGAGATCGCAGCAATGCGCGACGGGTAAGCTAGTTGCCAATAAATATAAAGAGCATAGTGAATAATAACATAATTCTGTTTCCAACAAATTTTCCCATTTAGCAAATCTCTCAGTTTAAATGTTAAAATTTTTCCTTTCCATGTTTTGTATGTGAACCAATTTTGCTAAATGAATAAAATAATTTTTCAGTTTCTCATTTGTTTTTTCTATTCACTTTCAATGTAAGATTTTGAATGACTCTTCATTCTTTCATGTAAATAGTATTTTGGCAGAAGGAGACAACTGATATCACATACTATATCAGGATTTGGCCTGACGGTCAAGCAGTAGTGGCACCCTACCACTCTGGGGGACCTGGGATTGAATTCAGATGGATCAGAAAACTGCAGGAATTTTTTGGATGTAGTCCATCCAGATATGTTGGGTCCTATATCTCATTACCTGGCTGCTCTTTGTGGGCTGGTCAAACCCTAATGCACTAGCTAAAAATAAACCATAACCATCTAGTGCCTACAGGATGTGAAGAATTTTAAAAAAAAGTTCATAAAAAGAACAAAAAAACTTGATGAATTTTTCTTCACAACAGTAAACCTTGAAACTTCCGGTTTCAAGGTTTACTGTTGTGAACCTTGAAACCGGAAGGAAACAATCGGGCTTTATGTTGATGTTATTTATATAAGTAAACCTTGATTTAACAGATTGAGAAAATGGGGTGTCTGCTATTGCTGTAAGGAAATTAAGTAAATAACATTACTTAATTTACTAATATAGATATAAAATGATGCTTTTTACACATTTTATCTGCTAATATTTTAACTTTAATTACTGATTGATTTGTTGACAGGAGGCATAAACATTCAGTTGTCTTCAGTTTTGCCCATTATAATAATTTCTCATTGATCTGCAATAAAGTTAGCTGATTGATAAGAAATGAGGCCTAACATATCCAACTCAAACATTCATTAAAAAAAAAAAAAAAATTCTTGAAGTTTCTGATGCATTCCCCTTAGAATAACAGACCAGTTAACTGACTGATTCAATCAGCAACTTTAGCATGAGATTTTATTAGGCAAATATTAATATTACATATTAGCTATATTTTTAAAGTTCTTTACAATTAATATTACTTTAGCTACTTCTAAATTATTTTTATACCATTTATTGTTATGAAATTATAGTTAAAATATTCTTAAGGTAAATTGGAATTTAATACAATTAGATAAGGGAACACACTTTTGAAACTATGTGGCATGTCTGAAAAGTAAAGATATGTTGCATATAAACAGAAAACTAATGTTTTAATGTTTGTTGACAACAGTCAATTTGACCTTGAACCTTTCACTGTTTGTAGTCATTTGCCATTGCTCTGCTGGGTCTGGTTTGAGTAGCATATGCTTACAATGGCTGCACTAATTCAGAATCTCATCAAATGTGCTCTGTCATATGTTTTCTCAATGCAAAAGGTGAGCATCCAGTGGATATTCACAAATAAATTGTTTCTGTTCGAGGGAACATTATGAATTGACAAAATGTAAGAAAGTGGTGCCATGCATTCTCTGGAGCAGGACTAACGTTCATGACAAACACAGGAGTGGTAGGCTGTCTATGATCTCTGATAAACTTCAAAGAACCAAGGAAGCAATTCATGCAAATCAGCATCTCACAATAAGAGAATGGCATGAAATCATCTTGAAAGTGTCCTAGTCCACACTTCATGAAGCTGTGACTAACATTAGGGTACAGGAAATTGTGTGTGCACTGGATACCCAAAATGTTAGACAAATGAAAAATTAAACAATAGGCTTTGTGCTCAACTTCCTCACACACTACACATATGCAGATGGTGAGTTTCTCAACCACATTGTGACAGATTATGAAACTTGAATTTACCACCATACTCCTCAATCCAAGCCACAATTGATGCAGTAGCACCATACACATTTTCCAAAACCCAAGAAATTCAAAACTTCAATTTTAGTAAAAAAAAAAAAAAAAAAACATGACTTCTGTTTTCTGGGATAGAAAAAGCATTCTTCTGAGATGAGGATGTTGACAACTGGTGTCTGTCTGTTTCATGGCAACACTCAGGCTCACACTATAATTGTCACCAAAATCCTTCTCGAACAATTCAAGTGGGAAGATTTTGATCATCTGCCATACAGCCCAGACCTTGCTCCCGGCACTTCCACTTGTTTCTTTATCTGAAGAAACATCTTGTAGTACAACACACTTCCTTGATGATGAGATCAAAAATGAAGTTGAAATGTGACAGAATTTGGCAAGCAGTAGAATTTTACAACTCTGGAATACAAAAACTAGTAACCAGACTCAACATGTGTTTGGAGAATGGTAGCAGTTATGTAGAAAATAATGCATGTACCAGTAAATATGAGGTAGTGGTTGTTCAGTCAAATAAAAATGCTTTAAATGAATAATAGCTGTTGTATTTGTACTTTTCAGACATGCCTTGTATATACTGTATAACTATGAAACTATATACTGTACAGTACATTAAGAAAATAATGCATTTTAAATTCATAATTTAAGAAAATGAAATTCATTCAAAAATATAAACTTTATATCTTTTATATTTGTGATATAAACAAAATAGTGATAAATAGAATTAATCATATTTGAATTTAACTTAATTTTTAAGCAGCTTTTAACTCTAATGTCAACATTGTTCATCTTCCAAAAGCTATGAAATGGATTCAAGTATAGTCTATATTAGTGTTTATTAAATTTTTATAATATATGTGTTATTGTTTTGGTAATATAAGTAGTATATTCTTTCTTTGTTCAAACAGAAAATAAATAAGATGGATGAAATAGTTAGAGAAGTGCCGTCCACATTGAAACGTCTTGTAAGAATGGTAATGCGTGGATTCTATAATATTGAACAGGTTATTTTAATGGACATGCTTATAAGAAATCCATGTATGAAAGAAGATGATCTTGTAGACTTGTTGAAATTTGAAAGAAAACAATTAAGAGCAGTAATTGCTCAATTAAAAAATGATAGATTTGTTAAAGTTCGTTTAAGAATGGAGACTGGTCCAGATGGAAAAACTTCTCGTCAGAATTATTATTACATTAATTATAAGGTAATTCTATGAAATATTTTTTCTAATAGTAATAATAATTAATAGCTTAATGTAAGATTTTTCTGTGTGTATATATAGAAATCAAAAAGTATTTAACATTTATAAGTTTTATTTTCAAGATCAAATTATAATAATATATACAGGTAACCCCCGTATAACACGGTAGTTACGTTCCAAAAAATTGCCGTGTTATGCGAAACAAAGAACTAGTACGAAAAGGAGGGTTAGGTTCCAAAAATTAAAAAACATGCTATTATATTTTCATAATTAAGATAAATATCTTTATTAAAATTTTCTTAAGTGTACATATTAATATAAATTAAATAATGTTTTCTTTGTTATCACTAAAAGCACTATTAACCAAGGATAACTTGCCAAAAAGAAAATGGCAAGTTATCCTTATCTGCTGAGCATTTTTCTGCATTATCTTCAGATACCTTTTACAAAATGTACGTAATTTTAGATAGCTTGCTTCTAGTTAAAAGATAAATTTCCTCATGTGGTGCTAAGCACTTATGAAGAATAAAGCAAGTATGAAATAAGGGAAAAACATCTGGCAACAACAGAAGCAGAAGCGTCGAGATCTGGCAACATTGAAACAAGTTTTGAGAAGGACCATGTGTATCGACAGAAGGCGAGAAAAGAAAATTTACATACTTAAGTACTAATAGTTCACGAAAATAATAATTTTTGTGAACTATTATTACTTAAGTATGTAAAAATTTATTACATTTCATGTTGTACGAGGGTTTTACCCAATTCTCGAACCATGTCAGAGTGAATCCGTGCTATAAAAGTACCGTGTTATACGGGGGNTTTTTTTTTTTTTTTGCTTATTTTAGAAATAATTTTACAACTTTATTTAAACCAAATAATGTTGTAAAGTTATTTCTAAAATAAGCCAAAAAATATATTAAACTTAATATGTCAGTTAAGCAGTATAGCTGAGACATCTATTATTAGTGCATAATGTACCAAGTGATGTTCTCGCTAATTGTTTTGGACTGTGAATGTAAGATATATTTCTGTTTTAGGCGGAAAATGTGTCTTAGAATCAAGGGAATGTGATATATCAGCAGTTTCCAATTTGTGTTCTGTTAGAACCATAGGGTTCTGCTGATAAAGTTTGAGATTCTGCAATAAAATTAATTTTTGAGTTTTAATTTATATTTTAAAATATGCATGAAAAAATTTATTAATCTTTAATAGTAAAAGAGGTCCTGTGCATAGACACTGCATGGCTCACATTAAATCCATAAATGAAAATAAAATCCATTGAGTCTAAGGGTAGGAAAATTGTATCTTATACAGTAGTACCTCAGGATATGAAATTAATCTGTTCCTAAACTGAGATCGTATCATGAAAATGTCGTAAGGTGAATCATTTTTCCCCATATGATTACATGTAAAACCAAATAATCCGTTCCAACATGAAAAACACACTCAAATTAAAGCTAAGTAGTACATTGAAAATAAAAATAACTATAGTAAGGAAAACACTGAAAAATGCATTTTGTAGTTGTAAATATATAAATAACCATAGTAGAATAATAATTGATAAAAAAAAATGTAGTTTTATTTGCACTTTATCTTTGAGGATAGACGATGGTGGAGGTGGCGGAGGAGAGGGAGAAGGGAAATGATACTAAAACTTAACTTACATGATATAATGTAACAATAACTTAAAAATAACTTAGAAAAGATTTTAAAAAATTAGTGTTGTTTTATTTTTTAATTATTTTTTTAATTTTTATTCACTGCTTTTTGCTTTCTTTCCTTCACTTCCACCAGCACTTTCACTGGATAGAGGTCGCTTGGTAAAATATCTATCCAAAGAGGTTTGGCTTTGCTTATTTTTTAAAATGTTTCTAAAATGACTTAGGCAAATGTCATTACTCCGAGCAGCAATACGGCCAGTGTGAATTTTTTCGGGGTGTTTCTTTTCAGTAAAATAAGTCACTTTCTGATAATACCTCAAGATTTCCTTTATCGAGCGAGATCCTTCCACGACGAAGCAAACA